ATACAACCCTGTGTTTTCCCGCCATCTGTGGGTCATTAGCGTTAAAATGTAAAGAATTCGTTCCCTACTAGTGTTTAGACTCAACTAAGATCAGATTAGATTTATTCCGGTTTTTGAAAAAATTTGAAATCCACTCCTCTACTCCGCTTGACTTCAAATCTATTCCGTTTTTTTCATTCATGTTATGCCCCTCTTGGGGCCGTTTTTTGAGTGTTCACCACCGGTTTCAGCAAAAAAAATTGAAAGTTAGTTAAAAAGTAGTAACTCTTTCATAGCAATGCGTCAATAAAGTAACATCGTTATTTTTTGATGTATGGCTGTACAAATTGGCGGTTGCAGAACTTTACTTAAGTTGTTAAAAAATATATGTAGAATGAAATTTATATAAAGTAGAAAAGGTTTGCTTTTCAAAAAAAACTAAGTGTTAGATACGTTCTACTTTATAGAAAATTCTAAAAATTACCTTAATATGTGACATATTATCCTTACATTGCTTCGCGTTCTTATTTTGCATGAATAGAAAATATTTTAGTCAAACAATTAATGTCAGAAACAAAAATAAAAAATTCAATCTAGTACGGAAAATTTGTTTTTGCTCCGATTTTTGCAGCGATTTAGTACTGAATCGAGTTTTTGAGGTCCGAACACTGTTCTGTACATTTGTACTGTTTTATAAACCTCAAACCGCAGTGTGGACAGCAATAGTTAGTGATGTGGTTAAGTGTTACACATTCCTCTAATGCCACTATAGTATGTTAAAGCGGATACGTCTCTTAATTTATAACCTTCCCATTGATTGAACAAGAAATAGGGAATTCATCAGAAATATCTATCTATTTTTGCCACTCCCACAATTTTAAGGAAACAAGTTTAAAATACATATGTAAATTTTAAGTAAAGCTTTTTACGTTTAATTTCGAATAGATCAGTTTAAAGTTTTCCCGAATTTCAAAATATGATCGAAATATTTTAAATATTATGTCTAAAATCTTACCCTACATGCCTAAGCGTTTGCCACATAACTTCACGCAATTCTTAGAAATCACATATATATGTATATGTACTGTATGTATGTATGTACATATCGAGCCCTAACCGCCAAGAAACGTAAGAGATTTTTATGCTCCTAGAGCCTCTAGGTGAATTACTGCATCAAACAGACCATTTTGAACGAAAATGTCGCTTACGTTTTATTGGCTGTTAGGGCTCGATTTGCATTATGTAATTTCGAAATTTGTGTAATGAAATAACCCAATAAACATTGTGGTGAATGTTCGAAAATGACCTTCGATATCAAATATGCATATCGAACTGGGAACGAACTCATAACCAACCTTAGTTTTCCAACGTTCATAGTATATTGGAAATACATTTGAGATGGATTCGAAAAAAAAATAGAAAAGCTAGTAAGTAACAAGAGAGAAGTCCAGAAATCCAGCCAAGGCGAATTCGTATAAGGTGGTAGCGGTAGTACAAAACAAAAACTTAACATCTATTTTGTTTTCGCTTTCGATACACAAATGTCAAATTTTCAGCTATTCTTCGCTCAACGAAGAAGAGGGAAAGAAAATTTCAACATTCTCATTTTCTCACTCACTCATAAGAAACTTTGGCACGTGTGTATCGAGGCGAATCAGATCAGCTGTTCTAGCAACACCATTTCATATAAATTCGCCTTGAATATAAGACAATCACTCTTCCTCATTAAAATTTGAATTCCATAATGGGCTGGATTTCGAGTTCATAACGAAGGTTCCGTTTTGCTGGAGAATGGCCTAGTTCTCGAATCGAATACTAACCTATTCCAAATTCGTTATCGAAGGTGAGACTCGAAAAAAATATTTATTTTCCAGTCATTTTCGAATGTGAACCAAGCCCAATGTATATTGGAAAATTACGCAATGAGCGAAAACGTTCAACATTGTCTTAATAACTTTACAGTTTACCAAAACTTTTTCTTGTTTCTTTTCATCTCCGTAGAACCAAAACCGCTCGTCACAATCGGCAGCTCAACCGATTTAGACACTGAGAGCTTAGACGAAATCAATTTGAACACAAACAGCGACGAAACGCAATCAGCAACCGACACCGCTGGGCTCAACGATCCGAACGCAAACCAACTCTGGTCCGAGACGAACAATCAGCCATCCGATTCAATACTTACTCAGGCAGCGTCTTCCTTCTCTGCATTGCCATCGGTGGCTTCGAGTGTTTTATCGACATTTTCCAAACGAATCTCTGAGTATTCTGGCTCAAACAGTCGCGAAAGAACACCGACAAGTGACAACGGCACCTTAGCATCACAGTTGGATATACAACCAACGTACTTGCAACAGCAATTCCCGTCACCACCACAACAACAACAACAGCAACCATCTGTTCAAAAACAATATCCGTACTATAGCAACCTACAAGTAAACGCGCCACCTACAGTAGGGGCCGCCCAGCCTACTGGTAATCCAGTACTCGAAGCATCGGAGAGCCACGCAGCATCACCACCAGAACCGCCCAAATTCTACACACCCACGGAATTTACAAATCTGCCCACAGCTAATGTACCGCCTCCACCGATACCAGGTGGACAGAACACTTACCGTTTAGCGGCGAAGAAGAAGTTATATGCCCCCATACCAGGACTATCAGAACAACCAGCAGCCCCTGTTGCTCCGACCATAGATCCTTTAAGCTCGACAGCTCCTTTTCAGGGCGTACCACCGCTACCAACACAGACCACATCGGTAACAGATCCGTTTGGGTTTCCAACGCAGTCACTCAAGCAGGAAGAGCGTAAGACTGGTGGTCTCTTTGCAAACATCAGCAATCTGGTACCAAGTGGAGTGCTGCAAAATATCTCCGGTTTAGTACAAACAGCAGCAGATACTTTTACGCAGGGCTCAAATAAACAATTCACTGAAGAGCATTCACAACAACCATACTACGGCTATTCGGGTGCATATCAACAACTACCACTAGAGGTCGCAAGTGCTCCTGCAGGCCAATATTTTGCTACTAGCATAGTGCCACCGCTGCCTTTCGCACCACAGTCCCACTCTGCCCTCTTAGAGGGAAACCCATCGGCATCTGAACTCTTTGCACCTATACAGTTGCCACCTTCGCAACAAAGTGTTTCCCAAGGGCAAGCGCCAACAACACAGCAAACTTCAAATTTATTTGAACAGCGTCCGACACCGTCTCTGAGCCAGCCTGCGCCACCACCACCCACGTCGGGTTTTGTAGCTGCGCCACCGAAAAGCGTCCCGCCAGAGTCTAGCAAACAACGTCCATCAGCCTCGACAACACCTATTGCTTACTTTGATCCCACAAAACAGACGTCTTCACTAGGTCCGCTATTTGCGGGTGCGGAACAGCAAGAGGTCAACGCAGCACCACTCGCAGCCACTGGAAAGCCATTTACACCAGCGGTGTTATCGCCGCAAGAAAATTATCCAACAACAGCTACAGCGCCTTGTCCTTTAAACGAACCACAGATACAGACCAAGCTTCTTACACCCGCAGAGGTGGTCCAGCAACCATTTTCAACTGGTTTGCCATTTATCAATCAAAAAGGTTTTGGTGCAAGTAACGCAGCACATCTGCCACTAATACCAGAAACAAGTAGCAAGGACGCTACATGTCCTCCTCAATCGACAAGTACTTTTTTACCACCGCCGACCCAACAAATTGTTGTCGGTAATCAGGCGCCTCTTCCTCCAACTACCGGCGGCTCGACTTCATTTCGCTTGCAGAAGGGTACACGGCTCTATAAGAGTCCTCTGACCACCGCGGAGACTGCGCCCGTCCACGTACAGCCGGATATAGTTCAGTCACTCGTACCACCTACAAGTTTATTTAATCCTTTTGGCTCGTCAGTGGCAGCAAGTGTGCCACATCCTCTAGCTCCTTCTGCTACTCCAACTTTGGTGCCAAGTTATTTCATTGCTCAGCCATCGGA